TTCCTCCTGCAGTGGTGACTCTAGCACTGACCAATAGAATTTTCTAGTGAAGGAAATGTTCTCTATTTCCACTGTCCAGTATGGTAGCCAGTAGTCACATGTAGCTGTTGAGTACTTGAAATATGGATAGTGCAACTAAGGAATCAAATTTTAAATTTTATTTAATTTTAATTAAGTTAAAAATTTAATAGCCACATGAGGTTACTGGTTACCAGATTGGACATCACAGTTCTAGAAGGTCAGATACTCAGTGGAGGATTGTGTTCTGCCATCAACACTGCAGACGGTGGACTGTTTTTTGTTGCATTCCCTCTGGATGGAAGCCATGGCATTTTCTAGGGGCCTGCAGAGATGTGGATACATTTTGTCCTTTGGCATGTTTTGACTTGTAGTTGTACTGATTGTAGTTGTACAGATTGTACAGCACAGATTGTACTGACTTGTAGTTGTACTGAAAACTCTTTGGTTTTCCCTCACTGGATGTGAGAGCACATTAAATTCTATGGTGTTTTCTCTGTGGGATTCAGAGTTCTTATATTGGTCAACAGTTACTAAAGGTTCTGTGTAGTATTAGGAAGAGTTGGCAAATTTTGCTATCTTTCAAGGTCCAGTTGAAGATCAGCTTTTCAGGAGATCTTCTTTATTCCAACTTTTGTATGTTTTGAGCCTCTGATCCTTCCCCACTTGTCCAGTCACTTCTCCCAGTCACACTGAACTTACCACCATTCTCTGAGTAGAGAATTCACACCTTTGGTTTTATTTAGTTAGAATTTTCTCTCTGCCTGTACTGCCCTTCTTGTCTTGCGCTCTGATAATCTTTCTTATCCCGTGGTCCTATCTAAAGTATCTTTTTCTTTGTCAAGTTTTCCTTGAGTCCTCATTGCTCCCTCTCCTCTATCCTCCAAGCAGTCTCTCATCGTTGTGTCAGCGCTTGTATGGTATGGTTTGGTACTGTATGGTAACCGGAAGCATGTCATTTATCTTTGTATTCTCTCTGTAGAGTGCTTGTCACATAGTGAATGCCTAGTAAATGTTTGATAAAGCTCAGTTGGAAAGTCCCACTGCATAAAGATTAAAAATGAGTTTGAAAGTAGATTTTAGCCTAAAAATATAAGGAATTTCCATTTAACTCATATGCTTGTGCAATGGTGGCTATTGAGGTCCTGTTATATTTTGGCGAACGTAAGGGGTGTATCATTTCTTTGTTCAGTATAAAATTACGAAGTGTTTCTGCTGAGTTCAGCTCCATAAGCTTATTCTGAATCCCAATCCTTCTTCATAAAATCCATGAAAAGCCTTTTGTGACTTTTGGGTTTCCTATTTTCTGCTCCTATAAGGAATTAGAAAGTGTCGGCCTGGCTCCTTGGTGGCTTCTTTGGAGTAGGACGTGCTGTGTTACCACAGTGGGCACGTGTTGCTCCATTAGAGTCTCTTTAGT